TTTAAGGTGCTACAGGAATACTCGTTGTTGGGATTTTTAGGGGCTTTTTTAAGCTACAGAGTAACACGGCTACCCCTCTGAGACTTCTGCCTGCTTTGTGACTCATACTTATGTATGGACCAAATTCACTGTTTGTGTGGTTCGCTGTCCTACATTTGTGGGGCATGAGAGAAGATACAACTTCACCATGGTGTTTTAGTGAATCTGACAGAGAAGGATGTGAAGGCTAGGACTGTAACAGAGTTTAAAGAGAAGCTAGATAATTTCATGGAGGTTAGGTCCATAAAAGGCTGTTAGCCAGAGGATAGAAATGGTGTCCCTGGCCTCTGTTTGTCAGAGGCTGGAGATGGATGGCACGAGACAAATCGCTTGATCACTGTCTTCGGTCCACCCCAACTGCGGCACCTGGTGCTGGCCACTGTCAGCAAACAGGCTACTGGGCTAGATGGATCTTTGGCCTGACCCAGTACGGCCATCCTTATGTTCTTATGACCTATGGGATTTCCAGAGCTATTTAAAGAACTTGAAGTGAAATCTACTCACTTAAGCATTGAGTAAGTTAGTGTTCAGTAACCTGGGGTGTGAATTTAAAGTGCACTAGCTATACAGCAGTAACTCCCTCTGTGGACACTCTAAGGCTGTGTCTACATTGGCACCCCTTTCCGGAAAAGGGATGCTAATGACACCAGTCGGAATTGCAAATGCCGCGGGGGATTTAAATATCCCCCGCGGCATTTGCATGAACATGGCTGTCGCTTTTTTCCGGCTCGGGGTTTTGCCAGAGAAAAGCGCCAGTCTAGACGGGATCTTGCGGAAAATAAAGCCTTTTCCGGAAGCCTTTTCAAGTAGGAATAAGGGATCTTCCGGAAAAGGCTTTATTTTACGCAAGATCCCGTCTAGACTGGCGCTTTTCTCCGGCAAAACCCCGAGCCGGAAAAAAGCGGCAGCCCTGTTCAAGCGGCATCTTTTACTGACTCCAGACACCTCAGTGATACAAGCAGAAAAAGTGGCCTGAGAAGCCTTTCTGTAGGAGCGCAACATAACCCTATTCCTCCAATAATGTGGGACTGCTTCTCCTCTCATTTACACTAGTGCAAATCAGGAATCTGAATAATTCCAAAGGTATGCCTACACTAGCTCGTTAATTCTAGCTAGGTAGGCAAATGAGGCGACCGGAGTTGCAAATGAAGCCCAGGATTTAAATATCCCAGCCTTTATTTGCATGTTCCCAGGCGCTGCCATTTTTAAATGCCCCGTAGTTTGAATTACCTGCCTGTGGCTACATGTGGCACGGACTAGGTAGTTCGAATTAAAGTTCCTAATTAAAACTACTGTTATTCCTCCTGCAAGAGGTTTAACGGTAGTTCAAATTAGGAGCTTTAATTCAAACTATGTAGTCTGTGCTGCATGTAGCCGCGGGTAGGTAGTTCGAACTACGGGGCATTTAAAAATGGCGGCGCCCGGGAACATGCAAATAAAGCCCAGGATATTTAAATCCCAGGCTTCATTTGCAAGTTCGAATGACTAAATTAGCCACCCTAGTTCTAACTAGGGTGGCAGTGTAGACATACCCTTATAATGCACAGAAGGTGCCCTCAGGTGATGTAATTTAGCACATTTCCGAAGTCTATTAAGCAAATGTGCACAATGGAACTTTCTGTACACAGTAAAAGTGTTCACACATGGGAGTTTG